TTGCTATCCGTTTAAGAAAATTTTCGTGCATTTACGATTAGTTAACTTAGTTCTCTTTTATACAATGCGTAACGGCAGTATCGTCCTCAGAAAAAGTACGTTAAACCTCATCTTACCTCGCTTAACGAAGGAAAGCCCTATTATTTTTTTTTTTTTTTAATTATATCTTACAGCCGTCGTCGCGCAAAAGCTGGTATCTTTAATGTACACTTTGGAAAAAATCAACGAAAATCAACGAAGCACACCACGCACACTCTTCCATCCCCCCTCCCTCTTTGCGACGTCGCCTCCGTCATCGTCATTGTCGTCTTTGTCAATGTTTACGTTCTTGTTACCACGTTCGTCGTTGCAACGTATCGATCAAATAAACGCGTTTGATAAAACTTCCCTCTCCCGATGTTACTGAATAATCCTCAGACAATTCTCACGTAATGATTCAAATATGCAAGAGGATTACTTTCTAAAAAAAAAAAATTGTCAGTTGAAACGTAGAGATTAATAAGAAAACTTTGACATAGCTCCAATAAAACGAAAGAACGTCATTGAATATCCAACTGAGTCATTTTATATAATTAATTAGTTTATTTATTTAGAAGAGCGAGAGAGCTTGAAAATGTTTGCTTTTCGAAATTGCACCGCATTCGACGTCACTTTCGACGAGTATCTTATCTTTCGTAAGACGAGCCTTTCGCAATCCTCTTTGTTTCGGTGCCACGAAGTATTAAACGCCGATACAACACGTTGCAATCGAGTTATTGGGGAAGTCGTGATTGAACGTGCGGCGTTCCTAACATTCCGTCCGTCGATGTATCACCAAAACTGCCCAAAGCGGATTTGCAATCGTCTGCCCTTCAAGATTATCTCGAAAGAGTCCTTCAAAGTAAGCGGATCGCATGATGTCGCCGATAACGAACCGTCGAGGAGGCGCTCAGCGATCTGAGAATGCCCGACGATCTTTTGCATCTTAGAATCACGGTCGTCCACCACATCATTACGATTGCAAGCCTTCGCAATAATTATGCAAACACGAGTTCCACGAAAGTCTCGCGGATTATTCGAGATGAGTCAGCGTTGAATATACCGCGACGGATCTATCGCGGATGATGGGGCGAGGCGCGGCAGAAATAGAGGATGCCTCTCGATCTCCCTCGTCGTTGCTCGCGCGATTCAGTTTTTTTCCCCCCGCTCACTTTGGATGACTCATCGGAGACGATCGTGAAAAGCGAAAATCGTTCGCAAGTTTCGCCTTTAGCGGCGCGTCTCTCCGTCGCGCGCCTCCACCGGGGAAGAAGGACGATGCACCCGCGATGCAAGTCGTGAAGGAGGTACTTCCGGAGATCGGCGGCCGATTCGTTCGATTGTCCGTTCGTCTGTCCCGTACAAATCTACATTCCGAAACGCGGCCAATTGAATGCTCGTCGTAAAGCTCCACGAGATATCACGTGCGTTTCTTTGGCAAACGTTCCTATCTTAGGCAAAGCTAAGTGACGTTCAATCGAGATTGTATCTGCCTTTTTCTACTTCTGTCAGAAAGAGACAATTGGAGTGACTTGGAAAGAGTCTCTACGAAAGGAGTCAAATGTTAACATCCATCGGCTCCGATGTAGATTTGTGCGCGACAGAATATTATTCTCTCGCGTCTCCACATAAGCTACAGATTGCCCATGGTCGACGAATGTAGTATCGAAAATATATGTTATTGCGAATACAAACGATTTGATTATTATTATCGAATTATTTGCACATATTACAATATGGGAGGGGAGGCCAAACTGAAGGGTGAGCGGGGAGGGGGCCTCGGAGAGTACGGGACAGTGGGTCGGACGGACCATCGGATAGTTTCTTGTGATACTTCGATATATAAGAACGATCGACGGTTATTCAGGCAAGGTTTTCGTCTTTGATTTTTTTTTTTTCCTACGCGTCGTCGTCATTGTCATCCAGCGCGAATCTCGCAGCTACATCGCGGCGACGTTGCAATATTGTAAGACGTTGCAATATAGCTGCGATATAGCTGCAAAATTTGTGCCGCATGACGTCGTCGTCGTTTCCGTCGTGCGTTTCCAAGACGCCGCGATTCCGAGGGACAACGGCGCGAAATCCGATCGATCGGCGGCGACGCGATGTCGATCGGGCGCTCGGAAATCGAGGGGAAGGCCGGCGATACGAAACGCAACGGAGAATGATGACCGTCCCCGAAGGAACGAGATGCGGGCACGCAGCTGTAGACATACGCGCGCCGTCGAAGAGCTATTTTTACCGAGAGAGATGCGCGATATAAAAAAATACTTCCCTTCAACCGTCTTCCTGACGAGGAGCGAAAGCAATGTTAACGCAAGTAGCAGAAAACGCAATCTTTAAACCGGGGGCGTGGGGGGGGGGGAGTGGCAAACGTGTCTCGAGAAAATTCAGAATTGACGACATGTGCCCTTCGTGTCGTTTTTGTTTATTACGTTTTACTTTATCTTCCTATATAGACAGAATTTCTTGGAGTTCAGCGTTTAGAGTTATAGCGGTATGTCTCAAGCGATTTCGGAGTCTCCGACTCGGCGATGTGAAATCGACGGGTAAACCACGACGAGAGATTTGTGAATTTGCAATTAGGTATATGTAGAAAAGCTACGAGGACATTAATATGTCGGACAGAGCTCTCCTAGAAACTTTGTCGAAAGCGAAAACTCGACGTCGTTAGGATAGTGTGAATTATTTGTACAGTAATTTCCAGATGGTGACCATCCTGTTCGTCGTTCCAAGTAGCGAACATCTGCCTCTAACGGCCTATTCTCTTAACGACGATGCTATTATCGTTACGTTGTCGTTGTACAGTCTTTTTCTACCATATATTATATCTGTGTAATGACAATATAACGATATTGTTGTTAAGAATTACAGAATAGGCCTACTAACGCGTTACTTCCGAAATATTTTGTGTCATTTGCAACGACATCTCTGCTCTTCGATGTTTTTATCGTCGTTGTTGTCGTCATCGTCGGAATTGTCATTATCGTTATTAGCACTGTCAATGTCATTATTGGCTGCGTTCAACAGTCGGCTTGTGAATGGCAATCGAATCTGACTGACGGAAAGAACGGCGTAAGCAAGAAAGATAAGCAAGAATATATAAAGAAAGATTATAAAGATCTGTGCGTGACGGTTTATACATTTTATTTTTATGTTTTCGCTAAAATGCATATAAAGTCCGAAACATAAACGTAGTACATATTCTATAAAATTAAATGTCTAATATTTTTGTAAATAAAAAACTC